CATTTTAAATATGATAAAAAATATGATATATACAATTCAAATATTCCATCAAAAACTGGGCAGAATACTGCTCAATTAGAATACCATAGATAGAAGTTCCATTAAGTAAGTCAATAAATAAATATTATCCAAAACAAATGCAGCATTGTTACTGTATTGATGCTCAGTTAAATTAATATGTGGTTTTGTTTGTTTTGTTTTCTACTAATATTTAACAGAGGAGAAAATCACGTTATTCTGACCTCGACTTTGAAGTAAGTGTCCCTATACTACTTATATTCAGCCAGTATGTATTTGATTCAAATCATGATGAATAAGAGATATTTGTTTAAATATACTTTAATTTAGCATTTACAAACAATAATCAATGCTTTTAATTATAAGGTAAAACATTCTTTTGTGTGTGTGTTTTTAAAAAACTGTACTACTGAAATCTATTCCCTAACCTTTTTTTTCCTTCCATGGTGTGTATTTTTTTAGATGATAATCCTTTTTCAAAAAAAACAAACACCTTTTGTTTGTTTTCTTTTGTTTTGATATCATCACAATTCTATTTCCTTAGCCCATTTCATATCATTTTATTCCTACACAGATTGCCTCCTTGTATATTAATTTGGGAATCCCATCTTTCTTACAACATTCTTGGGGGACGGGTTGGACTATGGACTTTTAAATTCATTCACCTATTTAAACACATGAATATAGAGATAATATAATTCCTTTCCTTCCAAGTAATTAAAAGTCAGGTTAATTTAAAAGCAATCACATAAAAGGGTAAAGATCAAGTATTATCATATATTTCCCACTGACCCATGACAGGTATATAAGGACCCAGAAAGCACCATGTTGCAGAAAGTTGCTATGTATAAGAGAGGTACTTGCTATAAAAGAGGCATGTACTGTACATAGAGTAATATTATCTCCAAATATATTTGGGGAAAATACTCTGAAATTGCTCAGATGAAATTATTCATGGAATGGTTAGGATTGGACCTAAAGTCTTATTAAGTAACCAAGTGTCTTCTATTAAACTTGGGTGGTTGAAGGCAGACTAAATATTCAGTCCTTAAGTTATGATGGCCTATATAGTTGCTCTTCTAGAATTTTTAAGTTTTGGAAGTTTTTATTCTCTCAGGTCAGTTTTAATTATGTAGTACTATATGTTTCTAAATGCATATGTTTTGTTTTGCTTAGTTTATCAGAATTTAAACTTAACTGAACAAATGACCTAAACATACTTTCTCATTGTGAAAAATTGATGTACCTGATCAGCAAAATGTAACCGGTTAGAACCTAACAACTTCATTCTTTAATTAAAAATAATTGCCATTGGTTTCTCTACATGATAGACATTAAGATTTAGGACTGAGAAGCATGTGTATTTATTCAGAACAGAGTATTCTTCTTCAGTTCATTTAAATATATAGAATGTGTGGAATCTTTTTTTTTATGCCTAACACTTCCTGTTCACACTAACCGGAACAATTATAATTAATTGTGTGAAACTGAAAGCTTGCGTATTCAACATATTCTTAGGACCACTTTATCATCATTTATACTCATTAATACCAGAATAATCATTCATATTAATGTGAATAAACAAACAGCAGCACATAATAGAAGATAATACTACGCACAAATATTCCCGCAGTTGAGAAAATAACCTAAGTTGAGAATTACCATTTATCTCATAATGAAATGTATTTTTTTTTAAAAAAATCCTTTACTAAAAACATATGGTATTTTAATAATTGCATTATTAAAACCTGCAAGAAAAGTAAGTTAAGGGAAGACATTTCATGAGGGTGATTTTAAAAAATGCACTGTAAATCTGTCAAACATTTTAAGTAGCTCGTATCACCTTTCTATGTGAACATCTTCTGGCATGCAAAACCATGGTTCAGATGTGAAATGTTTAATTAATTAATTTTTGGATTTTATTTTTTATCCCACATTCATTATTTTTATAAGTAACAAAAGGCAGCAAATATACCTAATATTCCTTTCTCCTCCTGTTTTCCCCACCACAATCCTATGATGTGAGATGGGCTGAGAGACAGAGTGACTGGCCCAAAGTCACCCAGCTATTTTTCCTGCCTAAGGCAGGACTAGAACTCACAGTCTCCTAGTTTCTACCCTGGTAACTTAACCACTAGACCAAATTGGATCTGATGTCTTAACCACTAGACCAAAATATTTATAGCCTTCCAAGCAATCTATCCTCCTATAGGATTCTGCTCAGACCAATTCTAGAAGCACAAATAAATAGATGAACCTTCTCTCTAGTAATTTGTTGTTGTTAAGTTGCTAAGTCATGTCCAACTCTTTGCGACCTTATGGACTACAGTATGCCAGACCCCCCTCCATCCACCACTATCTCCCAGAAGTTTGCCCAAACTCATGTTCACTGTTGATGGCATTTATCTAACCATCTCATCCTCTGCCATCTCCTTCTTCTCCTTTTGCCTTCAGTCTTTCCACACATCAGATTCTTTTCCAGTGAGTCCTCTCTTCTCATTAGGTGGCCAAAGTATTTGAGTTTCAGCTTCAGTATCTGCCCTTCCAAAGGACAGTCAGGGTTGATTTCCTTTAGGAAGGACTGTCTTGATCTCCTTGAAGCCCAAAGGACTCGCAAGAGTCTTCTCCAATAGCACAACTTGAAAGCATCCATTCTTTGGCGTTCAGCCTTCCTTATGGTCCAATTCTCACAGCCATACATTACAACTGGGAAAATGGTTAGAGTCACTTTATTGAAATGGGCAGCATATACATTTAATAAATAAATAGAAATAAATAAATTACTCCATTCTTCTAAAGGTCCTTGAGGAAACAGAGACCCGGCCTTTACCTCAGAAGAAACTGATATGTTTTGAGACTGCTTTTAAAAGAGTAGTCTTCCCAAGGGAGTATTCATAACATAATTTGGAAACACTAGTTCAGTGAAAACCATTCTGGTGATATAAGTGGAGAAGGAAAGCTGGGAAACAAAAGGGTTACTGCATCTGCTGGCCCCACTTTCTGATTTCCAGTACTGTGTTCTTATACATGATAATCAGACACATCCAACAGCCCTCTCCTTCTTCCCACTTGTACTGCAATACCCATGCAAGCATTCTTCTTTTTCTAAATAAAGGGGGAGGAGTTTTATTTGGAAGATTTAAAAATTACAAACCTATTTTTACACATATTTTGCCTGTGCCCAAAGAAGAAATAGACTAGAAACCATCCACTTAACAATCTTGATAAAATGGTGTACTCAATAGAAAGACAGTGAAACATCAAGTACCAAAATCAAGTACCAAAAAGCAATTATAACTTTTTTTTTCCTGAGCATATCAGGAGAAACTACATAATCACAATACCAAGTAGATTTTGTGAGTCAGAAAAGGTCAAATATTCTGCGCGGTTCTCTTTCTTAGCATTTTTCTCTATGGCAACTGATTTGAAGACATTCTTCTTACCACTAAGACAGAGACTTCATCACTGCTCCTGTGAACATGTAAAAACATTCTGTTCACCTTTATCTTTCACCCATATTTGACTTCTCAGCCAAAGTGCAGATATTTCACCAGATTTTACCCGTTGCTGCTGCTGTAGAATTTGGTATTTAAATATAGAGCATACATATATCATACATATTTTACATACAGTATCTGTCATAATCCCACATCTGTCGTGTGCTCAGCATGGGGGCAGATATCTCTATTGAGTAGAAGAAGAACACAGAGCCAATTGGCCAAATAACCATATTTGTCAAACAAGAAACTCCCTGTATATTATTTTGTAATTTGGAAAAGAGGGAGATCTGCCTTCTCTATCTCAGCATATGCCCTTTGGCATACCATTCACCCTGAAATACATGTGGTCATGTTGAAAAGAGCCTTAAAATGTGGCCCTTTCCAAAGGCCTTGGGTTAGAATGGGTGGCAGATTGGGGAGGTTTGGTTATGTTATTTAAAGCATATTTGTGTATGTGTGTGTGTGTATGCACATATACATACACACACATACATACACAGTATATGGTATGAATATGTATGTATGTATGTATGCATATATATGTGTTCATCTTATGTTGAACTCTGGGAGGCTCTCAATCAGCCATTTCTTTTACTAAATTTATATACGGCTCAGTTTATTTTTTGTCAGTTAACAAAATGGAAAGTAAATGAACAGAAGAGAAATTCCAATCAAATCAATATTTGGTGTGACCACCTTTTGCCTTCAAAACAGCATTAATTCTTACACTTGCACTAAGTCAGGGATTTTGTAGGATTAGAGTCCAGTGTATGATTAACCAATTATACCAGGCAGGTGCTAACGATCATCCATTTCATATCTAGGTTGAAACACAGTCATTAACTGAATCGGAAACAGCTGTGTAGTAGGCTTAAAACTGAGTGAATAGCCAAACTCTGCTACTAAGGTCAGGTTTCAGGTCACAGGTCATACACCATGGTAAAACTGAGCACAAGAATAAGACAAAAAGTAGTTATACTGCACCAGCAAGGTCTCTCCCAAGCAAAGATTTCAAAGCAGACTAGGGTTTCAAGATGTGGTGTTCAAGCACAAAGAAATGGGCAAGATTGAGGACTATAGACGCAGTGGTCGGCTAAGGAAACTGTACAGAGTAGCCTGGCCAGATGTGGTCTTTATGGAAGAATTGTAGCCAAAAAGCCATACCTCCGACATGGAAACAAGACTAAGCGACTCAACTATGCATGAAAACATAGGAACTTGGCCGCAGAAAAATGGCAGCATGTGCTCTGGACTGAAGAATCAAAATTTGAAATATTTGGCTGTAGCAGGAGGCAGTTTGCTCACCAAGGGTCCAGAGAGCAATACACGAGTGTCTACAGCAGGGGTATCAAACTGTAGGCCCGCGGGCCGGTTTCATCATACCGGAGCCGCACCCACCCCATTGCCAGCAATGGCAAAAAAGCTCCGATACGTTGTGCGATGTCACGTGACGTCGCGAGTTTGACATGTCTGGTCTACAGGCAACAGTGAAGTATGGTGGAGTTTGGGACTGCATTTCTGTAAATGGAGATTTGGTTGGGATCAATAGTGTCCTCAATGCTGAGAAGTAGAGGAAGATACTTAACCCTCATGCCATACCACCGGGGAGGCGTGTGATTGGCCCTAAATTTATTCTGAAGCAGGATAATGGCCCCAAACATACAGCCAATATCATTAAGAACTACCTTCAGCATAAAGAAGAACAAGGAGTTCTTGAAGTGATAGTTTGGCCCCTACAGAGCCCTGATCTCAACATCATTGAGTCTGTTTGGGATTACATGAAGAGACAGAAAGATTTGAGGCAGCCTACGTTCACAGAACATCTGTGGTTCGTTCTCCAAGATGTTTGGAACAACCTTGAAGGGATATTGCCACATTCCTTCAAAAACTGTGTGCAAGTGTACCTAGAAGACCTGGTGCTATTTTGAAGGCAAACGGTGGTCACACCATTGGATTTCTCTTCTGTTCACTTATTTTCCACTTTGTTAATTGATAAAATAAACCATTAACACTTCTATTTCTGAAAGTATTCTTAATTTACTGCATTTTTGCACAACTGCCTAACACCTTTGCACAGTTCTTATATACTAGAGATTAGGCAACTCAAGAGCAAAGCAGGACCTGAGGCATTTCTTGAAACTTTAGAGCTATCACTAACTATAATTAGTAACAAATGAGGATTCAGCTTCTCACCATTTTGAAGTGAAAATACTCAGAAATAGTGGTGTAATCTTAAAATATATTTAAAGCAGTTAAAAAATTTCCAATTCCCTTCAAAATCTGGAAAACACAAGCTATTCATTTATTTTAACCCATGTGTTAACCATGGTTTACTATATTGAATGTAGCCATAATCCTTTTGATTTCTGCCAAATATATCGTCCACTTACCAACTCACTTAGCTTCCTTCAAAATCAATAATAAAAAATTATGAAATGCAATTGTTTAAGTGGCTAATCAATTGTTTTTGAGTAAAATTAAGTGTAGACTTAAGCTTGTCTTAGAGATACAGTGGTAAGAACTGAATATTCAGTAGTAAATTGGTTCCCAATCACAAATTTGTAAGCTCAGTTGGCCAAATACCCCTTTTCAGACCTCTGTGTTAAAGGCAGCCAGGCATGCAGAGATCTTGAGGAAGGGGGCTCCTTGTATACTATTCTGTCTATATTGATTCAGAACTTTTCCCCTTGTTGTTCTCTTTTAAATAGACCCAAAGCTTATAAGGATCACTACATAAGCCAGAGATTGTCAGCATGATGCCTTCCACTATCACTGCACTCATGCTGCCCTCAGGGATGTCCATTGTAACCCAAATTAAACAAAATTTAATTCTCAAAAAAGTGACTGTTGTCATATGAAATCACCACATCTTGTGTGCCTTTATGCTTGAAGCCACCTTACAAGTCATAATTCTAATCCTCCTTATAGCTGCTCTAAGTGACATTTCTAGTCTAAGAAGTATGTATAAAATGGCAAAAGGGGTTCCACATTTTACTATACTTGTTTATGCTCCTTTGCTAAGTTTCTTTCAAAGCTATTTCTTACCATGAGGCTTATCTAGCAGACAATCATTCTGAATGAGCAATTGGGTGTTTTTTTTTAAAACAAACAAACAAACATATACCTATGTCTTCATGCATATCTGTAGCGCTGAGTATGCTCCTGAGAAGTTTTAAAATTGCTATTTTCACAAATCTCCAGAAGGTCATTTGGGTGAGATGTCCATAAATTTAGGTCAGCTTTCTCCACTGCATATGCTGCTCTTCAAGAAGCATCTCACCATCCTACTGGGGTTAACTGGTTTATAAATTGCATGCCCACATCATGAAATATGACACTTCCTTCAGCATGAAAAATTAAGACTATAATGCTGAAATTTATTGTTCTGATCACCCTTTTCCTCTGCTATTTGAATCCGAAGTATTACTCATAATTTAATTATGATCTTACCAAAAAGGAGATACGTAGCCATATCCTACACAGGCATTATAAGTGTGCATCCCACTTCTAAGTAATGATAATTTTTTGGGGGGTGCCAGTGATTAATAAGAAAGAGGTCATTGGGGAATAATCCCATTTCTGTTCTGCCTGTCCCTACAGAGTGAGCCCAAAATGAAGATTCCCAGAATTAACGTTTTCTGCTCCCCCTCTCTTTCCAAGCAGAACCTCTAATGCTCTGTAGGAGTCCCAGGAGAGACTGTCTTCTTGCTTTGTTTCTAGGAAGGCAGAGGCAGGAGTGGGAGGACTCCCTTCTTATGCTGAGTGGTTTCCCGTGTCGTTTCCATGGCATTAGAATTGTGATAGCAGAAGAAGAGTTCACTCATTGACGTTAGCTTAAAAAATCTCCCTGTTCAATATACAGGTAGTCCTCGACTTACAACCACAATTGAGCCCCAATTTTCCACTGGGCAAGCCAGTTGCTAAGTGAGTTTTGCCCCATTTTATGACCTTTCTTGCCACTGTTGTTAAGTGAATCGCTGCAATGGTTAAGTTAGTAACCCGGTTGTTAAGCGAATCGGGATTCCCCCCATTGACTTTGCTTGTCAAGAGGGAGTCACGTGACCCCGGGACCCCACACCCATCATAAATATGAACCAGTTGCCAAGCATCTGAATTTTGATCAGGTGACCATGGGGATGCTGCAGTGGTCGTAAGTGTGGAAAATGGTCATAAATCACTTTCTTTCCCATGCCATTGTAACTTTGAACGGCCACTAAATGAACTGTTGTAAGTCGAGGACTACCTGTAATCCTTCTTGTCACCGGTCTCAAAATAGTGGCTGCCTTTCCTATTCCACAAAAATTCAGATGGATATTTTGCTGATCAGAAACATATATAACTATTGGATCTTCCAGATTCTCAGTATGGACCAGGGGTAGGCAATCTTGTCTCTTTTATGACTCGTGGACTTCAACTCCCAGAATTCCTGAGTCAGCTTGGCTGGCTCAAGAATTCTGGAAGTTGAAGTCCACGAGTCATAAAAGAGACAAGATTGCCTACCCCTGGTATGGACCTTCTCCCAGAAAAAGCTCATTTCTTTAAAACTAATTTTAACCGTTAAACAAAGAAGATCATTCGTAGTGGTACTTCTCTTCTTGTGATGATGCATCTTCAGAAGCACAAAAAAACCCCAGCATTGTTTTGTGGCAATTCCAGAAAGGGCAGGGGAGAAACAGCCCTCCAATTCCAACGATACACAATACAGATCAAATATGACATGGCCTGTTTCATGTCCACGTCTTGTATCTCAAGCAAGAGACAGCCCAGCTAAATTCAATTTACTTTGTTATGTTGGAGGAAATAATGGTTGTTTGAAAAATATGCTCATTATAAGTATTAAGCAATTATATTCCATTTTTACAGAAGGTCATGCATACGAGGAAGAGACACATGGAACTGTTTCAAGAATTAAATCAGAAATTTCAGACACTAGACAGATTTAGAGATGTACCAAAATCAGGAAGTATGGTAAGTATGGAATATATAATTTTAACCTCCACTTATGCAAGAATGCCCTATATTTTTTTTTTGAACTGTTGCGGGGGGAGTGTGGAAACCATAAATTTAAGATAATATATTCAAAAAAGTTTATATTACTTAACGTAAGTTAATGAAAAATATCCAAGAAGTAGAATATTATTCATAAAGCTCAGCTGCTAGTGATAAGGGCAGATTTAGAAAACATAGTTCAAATCCATTGCTTATCGAATACTCTTATAAATATCCTTATAAAGGGAGATATCCCAACTAATCACCTTCCATAGTTCTTCTAATATTTGTAGTGCTTGTGTAATACTATGAATATTAGATTATAATTGTTCTAATGTTCATAGTTGTTATGCTAGCATTAATTATGACATCTAGTATTATGAACGTTATATATATAATGGTGTTTGAAAACTATTCAGAAATTTTAGATAGCTTAAAATTTAACTCTTAAATTGTTGCTTAAAAATGTCATCTACTTCTACCAAAAGTAAACATATTTTACTTTTGTCAATTTCCAAGCAGAACTCAAAGAATTGGTAGTTACCTCCATATACCATAATTATTTGAAATAGAAGAGTTATTCCATTAAGAAACAACCATCCTTTGCATTATAATCTTTAGAAACTTTCTTAGTGTCCCTGCTTTAGAGATAAATTGATAGAATCTTCTCAGCAGTGATATTCCAAATTCTTTTGAATTGCAAGTAGTATCATGGCAAATACCTTATTCTCAACCATTCAGATTTTTAAAAACCCCTTATTCGCCTTTTAGTGACGTGTTGCTTTTTGTCATTTAATGTGATATAGATGAAGAGATTGTGCACGAGTGTGTGTGTGTGTGTGTGTGTGTGTGTGTGTGAGAGAGAGAGAGAGAGAGAGAGAGAGAGAGAGAGATGGTAGGTTATGGTATAGTGGCATATGGCACTGCTTATCACAGGATTCCTAGTTACCACAATATAGCATGGCAATATAGCAATATATCCCAATGTAGCACAACAACACAGGGTGCACAGTGGGGATACTGACTCGTTTTAATATAAACAATGCTGCACTCCAGCATGGCTGACTCAGGAATTCTGGGAGTTGAAGTCCACAAGTCATAAAAGAGCCAAGGTTGCCTACCCCTGACCTAGACATTGGCATTTGAACATAGATCTTTTTAACATTTATATTTTATTGTGTTTTCTAATCTAGGTGAAATGTTTACACATACACACACACACACACACACACACACAGTCCATGTTTGAGATATGCCATACAATGAATGAATGAATGAATGAATGAATGAATGAATGAATGAATGAATGTGCATCAGGCCCTGGAAGCAACACAAGGCATGGGTAAAAACTCTGGTTTACTGGGACTACTCCTCCAGATCAGATCAAATTCTGACAGATGACTGAGCTCACCATTCTTCTCCCAGCCAATGCTGTCTCCATCCCCAAGATTAGGGAGAGCAATTGATGAATGTTTTGCCCACCAGCAGGGAGACCTATTTAGCACCTTAACTACTTCCACAATCATTTACTAGGACAACACCAGTCACAAGTTTCACTAATGAGGCAGGCCTAAGATCAACTATAGGGGCAGAGCAAATTTATGTCAACACAGTTTGTGCCATCTGGAAGACAGCAGATGAAACTGATTCTTTGTATATGCTCCAGGGGTCTGTCCCTCTTAATTTAGCAAAGTCAAATACAAAGACAGCCTACAACTTTAGCAATCAAATGCAAAAAATACCGCCAATAAAAGTGATTGTGATTAAATAATATGGATGGGTATTGTCGTTTATATAATATTAGCAAAAACAATTGAACTTTTTTCTATATTTTTCACTCATAAAGCAATTCAATTACATCATAATGTACAAATGAAATAAATAAATTTTAAATAAACCTACATTTCTGCCTTATGTACAGAATGCTGCGAATTTAAGAGCAGCTAGGGTGATAGGTGCCTTCAGCACCATGTTAAAATGAAACTCCAGTGGATTAATATTAAGCTTCTCTTAAAAGATTGTTAGCAAATGATTCATTAGCTTTTGTGTAAATTAGAAACAGATTCCATGTTAATATAAAATTCTGAGGATTAGCTAGGCCCATTTCTGCTGTTATCTGATGTAAGACTTTCTCCACATTAAGAGCTCTCCTGCTTTGCATACTGTGGCTGTTCCTTCATTAAAGAAGGTTATCAATCTTTTCTTCTGTCAGGCAGTTTATCACAGTGCAAGCACATAAAAAGCTGAACGGAAAACAATCTAGAATATTTTTTTATTTCATGACTAGTTCTTTAATTTCATGACTATATATATATAGTATCGCCTGTTCACCGCCCTGAGTCCCGCAAGGGAGATAGGGCGGTATATAAATTTTATATATATATATATATATATATATATATATATATATATATATATATATATATATATATATATATATATATATATATATATATGTTTTCTGAGGTTTTCGCGGGTGTTTGTATGTAGGTCTTTAGTTATTCGGGTTTTCTCCCAAATAACTAATTCTAATTCTACGCGGGAGAAAACCCGAATAACTAAAGACATATATATATATATATATATATATGAAATCTAATCTAATCTATATATAGTCATGAAATCTAATCTATATATATAGTCATGAAATCTAATCTAATCTATATATAGTCATGAAATCTAATATATATATCTAAGTTTATCAAACAGTTGTTAGTTTATTAAACAGTTGTTTTTATATTTATCCCGGTGTTCGACTACTTTTCTCAACATATATATATGTATATATGTATATATGTATATATGTATATATGTACATATGTACATATGTACATATGTACATATGTATATGTCTTGAGTTTGGTGCACCCTGTAGGCCCAAATATGTATATGTATGTATATATATATGTATATATGTATATGTATATGTATATATATATTTCATACACTTATCAGTTTTGAAGATAAATTATGGGGGCAAACTCATCTCTTCTGTAGAATTTTTTAAAGGATTACTCATCAGCTTGATCTTCCTGCTTCTATATTAAGCCAATCCAGGCAGTGAGAAGCAGCATAAATCAAGCAGGAGCCGTACTTTAATAAACTTCAGAAAGAATGTTATAACTATAGGGCATCCAGCAAGAATATCTAACATCATCATGCATCCTTGCTACACTTGTACAATGAACAAAGCAGACATTTTTGCTTCATGTCAGAAATTGTAAAGAAAAAGAGGAATCCCCAAGATCTGCAAGACTATGGTGACTGAGAGGTTTATATGTTAAAAAAATGATTAAATTAGATTGTGTTGCAACATTTTTTTAGTCAAACTGGGTGGTAATCTCATCTATATTGGAACTGTAGTGCACGCAATAGGGATTTTTGTTCCCTTACCATTCCCTGCCACTGGTATCCTGTTTGGAAAAATGTCCTTTTCTATATGTGGATAAAAGATTTATCTTTTATCCACATATAGTGGATAAAAGTGCCAATGGTGCCAATGGTGTTCCATTGGCACCAAAAGGTTAAGACAAAATAAAATCCCATGGTGCAAAAGGAGCAGGAAAATTTAAGCTTCTCTCTCTTCTTATATATGTGTTCCCAAATGTATGTATATTGGGATTTTCTTAAATTTGTGCAAAGTGATAAAAACATAGATATCATTTGCATCCCTTAAGCTTAAGGTCCAAAGTCAGTTCTTCATATATAACTAACTATCCATAGAAGGGAAGCCATGCTATTTTTTTCTGTAGGGCCTTCCACACCATTATCAATGGTGATTTAAAGCAACACCTGAAACCTGTAACTTCATAACATCAGGTTGGAAGTGTTCAGTCACGTCTTGTCTTTTATGACTGCCTTCTCTTCCAAGAAATATCAACTGAACATATAGCTGCCAGGGATGGTCAGCGAAGTCTTAATTTGCTCAGTTTTAACCTCAGTGCTGGGAATTTGTTTGGCAGCTTTGTTGGCAAACCTTCCAGTGTATCAGTGACTCCCCTTGGAAAGGAATGAGAGAATGGACACTGAATATAGGCCAGGCTGACATCCTTCAGTGATGGTATCTTCTCTTATGTCAAACAGAGATAAATCAGCTTATCTTCTGATGACTGGTTTTCCCATGTGATTTCTTGAATAAGCTAAAACACAAAAGGAGATTTTCTTTTTTCTTTTTTAATCACTCTCTTTCTCTCCCTCTCCCTCCCTTTCTTTTTGTTCCCCCCCCCCAAATCTCCCACAGGAAAATCCAGCGGGAAGCAGCAAGAGTCCCTGGGACAGTTTCAAAACCCCAAGCGATTACCAACATTATACCACCATCAACGTATTAGATTCAGAGGCAAAAGACGCTTTAGAACTAAGACCAGCAGAATGGGAAAAGTGTCTGAACTTGCCTTTAGATGTACAAGAAGGTGATTTTCAAACCGAGGTTTAATGAAAGGTGAAATAAACTGAGGCGCAAAGCTTACCCTAGAATCATTTTGTTTGCACTGACGCTCCAGAGACGTTGGGAAGCCTGACCCAGCCTGTTTGGACACCATGGCTAAGGCATATCAGCACCTTCCTGGGCCAGAAGTCAGTGGTTTTCTTTTCATACAATCNGGAACGCGGCGGAACGGCGTTCCGGCACCTTTTTCCGGGCCGGCCGCACCGGAAATAGCCCCTCCCACACCGGAAATAGCCCCTCCCAAATTTTACTTGCATTCCTGTTCTCTAAAGGGGCGGTCCTAGGGTTTGATGAGGGCGTGGCCAGGTTTGAGTTCCGCCACCTTTTCTCCGAGAAAAAAAGCCCTGTATATATGTATATATGTACATATGTACATATGTACATATGTATATGTCTTGAGTTTGGTGCACCCTGTAGGCCCAAATATGTATATGTATGTATATATATATGTATATATGTATATGTATATATATATTTCATACACTTATCAGTTTTGAAGATAAATTATGGGGGCAAACTCATCTCTTCTGTAGAATTTTTTAAAGGATTACTCATCAGCTTGATCTTCCTGCTTCTATATTAAGCCAATCCAGGCAGTGAGAAGCAGCATAAATCAAGCAGGAGCTGTACTTTAATAAACTTCAGAAAGAATGTTATAACTATAGGGCATCCAGCAAGAATATCTAACATCATCATGCATCCTTGCTACACTTGTACAATGAACAAAGCAGACATTTTTGCTTCATGTCAGAAATTGTAAAGGAAAAGAGGAATCCCCAAGATCTGCAAGACTATGGTGACTGAGAGGTTTATATGTTAAAAAAATGATTAAATTAGATTGTGTTGCAACATTTTTTTAGTCAAACTGGGTGGTAATCTCATCTATATTGGAATTGTAGTGCACACAATAGGGATTTTTGTTCCCTTACCATTCCCTGCCACTGGTATCCTGTTTGGAAAAATGTCCTTTTCTATATGTGGATAAAGATTTATCTTTTATCCACATATAGTGGATAAAAGTGCCAATGGTGCCAATGGTGTTCCATTGGCACCAAAAGGTTAAGACAAAATAAAATCCCATGGTGCAAAAGGAGCAGGAAAATTTAAGCTTCTCTCTCTTCTTATATATGTGTTCCCAAATGTATGTATATTGGGATTTTCTTAAATTTGTGCAAAGTGATAAAAACATAGATATCATTTGCATCCCTTAAGCTTAAGGTCCAAAGTCAGTTCTTCATATATAACTATCCATAGAAGGGAAGCCATGCTATTTTTTTCTGTAGTGCCTTCCACACCATTATCAATGGTGATTTAAAGCAACACCTGAAACCTGTAACTTCATAACATCAGGTTGGAAGTGTTCAGTCACGTCTTGTCTTTTATGACTGCCTTCTCTTCCAAGAAATATCAACTGAACATATAGCTGCCAGGATGGTCAGCGAAGTCTTAATTTGCTCAGTTTTAACCTCAGTGCTGGGAATTTGTTTGGCAGCTTTGTTGGCAAACCTTCCAGTGTATCAGTGACTCCCCTTGGAAAGGAATGAGAGAATGGACACTGAATATAGGCCAGGCTGACATCCTTCAGTGATGGTATCTTCTCTTATGTCAAACAGAGATAAATCAGCTTATCTTCTGATGACTGGTTTTCCCATGTGATTTCTTGAATAAGCTAAAACACAAAAGGAGATTTTCTTTTTTCTTTTTTAATCACTCTCTTTCTCTCCCTCTCCCTCCCTTTCTTTTTGTTCCCCCCCCCCCAAATCTCCCACAGGAAAATCCAGTGGGAAGCAGCAAGAGTCCCTGGGACAGTTTCAAAACCCCAAGCGATTACCAACATTATACCACCATCAACGTATTAGATTCAGAGGCAAAAGACGCTTTAGAACTAAGACCAGCAGAATGGGAAAAGTGTCTGAACTTGCCTTTAGACGTACAAGAAGGTGATTTTCAAACCGAGGTTTAATGAAAGGTGAAATAAACTGAGGCGCAAAGCTTACCCTAGAATCATTTTGTTTGCACTGACGCTCCAGAGACGTTGGGAAGCCTGACCCAGCCTGTTTGGACACCATGGCTAAGGCATATCAGCACCTTCCTGGGCCAGAAGTCAGTGGTTTTCTTTTCATACAATCGATTTCCACTAGCCAACCTAGTGGAGGCCCCAGGTGTACAATTCTTACCATCGTGTCTTGTAAGTACCCGTGGAATGGATTTGTAAGGTCAATCTTTATAGATAAACCTCAAACAACGGTTCATGTTGTAACAGCTTCATTTGGTTTAGTTTTCAGAAAACTTCACCATGAAGCACAATGTATATATTTATGCAGTTTTTAAAGTTTATAACAGTCTGTTTGGCCATTACTACACTTTTTACTTTATAATATAAAAAAAAAGAAGAGGAGGAGGAGGAGGAAGAAGAATAAGAAGAAGAAGCAGAAGAAAAAGAACAAGAAGCAGAAGAAGCAAAGTTTTGTTGTCATTAAATGAATGTCTGTTGAGCTACATTCTTCATTGCTTTAAATGCAATAAAGTAATAATCTCACTTTTATATGAATAATATATTTCACATCTTTATTATTGCAGTTTTCTCTGGGAAGCTTGGAGTAGCTTTTCCTGCTGCAGCTGTGTATAAAATATTTAAAATGTTGTATGGTGTAAATAAACTTTTGTCTACATATCAGTATTTTCAGTGCATTTTATTTCGGATTTGTTGATCTGAAATTTGCATATTTATAATGGTTTTTTTTAACAACACTGAAGCCGAAAAATGTATTCAGAATGTTAATAGTGTACTGTTATTACTCCTTTGGGACTAATGATTTCTCAAATGTAATAATAGGTTTGCAGAGCTGTTCTTTTTTTCCCTAATCTATGAAGGCAACATACAGTGTAAATTGGACTTGTCAGAGCATTGCTACATTCATTCTATTATATGTAAATCGTAGTCCTTTTCCATCTTGCCACAGGAGAAAACTTTCTAGACAAACATTGTGCAAGTTTCAGAACACAGAGCCTGAGAAAAATGTTTTTTTTTTAATTTACTGCCATCTTACTATAATGATATTTTATGATACTTTCTCCTTTTTTCTGTAGCCAACAAAGATGTATTATCTCCTTCAGGACTGGGGTACATAGCATGATGCTTCTGCTAGAAAAAGAGTGACTAGAGACTATAGCAATCCACGTGTGATTGACAACTACCTAAACACAGTAGGTAACGGGTGGGGCTCCTGATGTTCTTAACAACAGCTCCCAGAAGCCTTAACCCTGTGAGCATTGATGAGGAATTATGGGAACTGGAGTCCAAGAGCATCTGAAGGACCAGCCATTGTCTATCTTCTAAGATAGTTGCAAATCACCTCTTAACCTCAAACAGAATGAAGATATTTTTACCCAATATTTTGTATGCTGAATTAAATTTTATAGTATGTAAAGAAGGCAGTATTAAATAAATATATGAAATCCAACTGGGCCTGCGTGGTACAATAAAGATATTTTGAAATGCAAATGTTAGTTAAATGCAGAATCTTCCACCTAGTTGTATCATTTAAGCATTTGTCCTTGTGATGGTTGCCGACACACTTTTAAAGCATCCCTGGATTGGAAAAAAAATCTATTCATTTACCTAATGACAGAGAAAGGTTAGATTTTTCTCTCATGACTGCCTTTGACTTCGAGAACCGCAATCATACCTTTTCAAGTTCTGGAACTGACTCTTGTAATTTTATTTATTTGTTCGTTTAAGAAAATTTATATGGTCGCCCAACTCACTTTCAGTGACTACTTGAGCATTATGAGAGTCCAAGCAAAACTTGATGCAACAGGTACTTTCCTGTAAAAAACAGTAGTGAAGCTGGATAGAGGCAGTAGTGCAAGGAATAATCTTTGTCCTTATCACTCAGAATTATCCATCTTGAGCCTATTGCAAGAAGTTTCCTCCCATTGTGGCAGGGAGCTCATTCCTCATTCGGCCGCGGTGAACAAGGTCTCAACTCTTCCACTCTGGTACAACTAAAGCTGAACTCCTCGTATACCCAACTTGGTTACTGAGTGTCAAAACAACATATATACCAAGGTTTCCAAATGTATGATTTTGAATTAATCTAGTTTGAGGTTATTATGTCTCTTACTCTAAACACCACAGTATGATTCTGCTAAAGGAAGATGATATTGCTCAGCTGTATGGAATAAGGACAGAAGTCCTTTATTCACTCTGTTCTGCCATTTAAAGGCAATTTCTAATAACTCAAAATGCTATTCTATGCATTATAACCAACTAGTTAAGATAGCTGCTCTTTCTGGTTTAGACCTTTAACTGCTGCATCAACCATGTGGCCAGAGCTATGTGTGGATGAATAATAGCTGATGGGACAATCACAGCCAGTTCGCACCAGTTTGGCAGAATCGGTAGCTAATTTTTTGTTGCCCAGGCCCAGAATGGACTTCCAGAAGCGGCATCCACACAGAGAACTGGTTGTTCACATATTTGAATCCCACCACTGGACAATCACCAAGAAAGTGTCTGTATCATTGTGCCAATAACGTAATAAAGTAGCAGTCATCATATATAGAGCACACTATTGCTTTCATTCAGAACCTGTTGTAAGTTCTTGGTATCCGTGAATTTTACCGCATTACATTGATGTAACTAATGACATTTTCAAAAAGTGGGATGTTTCCACCAACACTACAAGGGCTATGAAGTTGAGCCAGCCTGACATTATCCCACCAGGTTTTTATCCATTCCACCTCCAGAGCTTGTGCTGCTCCACATCTGCTATCAACTCTCATTTGGCAAATATATGGCATTGCAACTTCTTCATTGTAAGGTTGGATTGTGGCAGCCTTCCAGGGATAAACAACCCACCAAAGCTTTGTGCAGTAATTCCTGCCTTGAGAACAAATCAAGCTATCCTTTTTTTCAACAACCTTTGCTGGGCTACCTTTCCCCTTGAAGAATAATTAAAATATATGAATGCACTTATAATATA